TTATTCGATCGCCTGAGCGACGGAGCCATTCTTGAATGGCAGCTTCTAGCTCCGCAGATGTCGAAGCTGGTAGCTGCTTCATCACCAAATCTGAAATACATAATTTAAATCGCATTAATAAAAATATTAAATATAATAATTTAACCAGTTAAATATAAAGCAATATGTGTTTTTGAGTTTGGCGACCTCGATTCTTATTTGTTTATCGCACCTTTATTCTCATGATATTCACATATATGTAATTAAAGATGAGATTGAGTTTGATAAAGTTTGAGGATTATGTAGTATAAATTGGCGTTTTCCCTTGGGACTGCACTCGTGCAATGTTTCTATAAGAGCAATGTTAAAATTTGCACGAAGGCAGTGTAGATTTTAACATTATAGGTCTGTTCTTTATAGCTGAACTGGCTGCACTAGTTCATAGTTTATCTTTTTCCCTCCACATTGGAAGGAGAAAGATAAACTCTGAACTAGTGCAGCCAGTTCAGCTATAAAGAACAGACCTTATCCTTATGGAAACACTGCAAGAGTGCAGTCCCAAGGGAAAACGCTATATATGTGTAGTTGGACATTTATCTGATGTCAGAAGCAGTAGACATTTTACAAACAAATCTAATTTTGAATGTAATCTTTGCATTCATGTAATTCACAAAATAGTACTACTAACTGTAGGGGCCTTTATACTTTGGTATAAAGTCTTATGTTTAGCTCATCGGTATTTTTTAATAACATTTACCACAAATTGCATGGACGCTACGAAGATTATGTGCAAAATGCTATGGTGCTTCTAACATTACAAAAATATCTTAAACCTTGTTGTTATATAGGGTGCTTTTCTTTTACGAAATGCACACTCCATCTGTGCATTTGTTTCGTAAAAAGAAAGTCCCGTAGGACCCATAGGAAAATGTAGTGTAATGGAATAGGTGCGTTATCGATTATAAGTTTGCATATGGATGTGGATTTAAAGTCTACACCACTCTTTTGACTTGTCCATGACATCTGAGTACCCAGTTCATTAGAGACAATCTGTGGTAGAGTATTTCTAACGAACTGCTTACCCGTTGAACCTCCAATTCGACATATAACGTGTTCCTGTAATAGAAATTAAAGACAAAATTGCAGAGAAAAGGCAGACAAAGGACTCCTTACAAACCTTATGGAAAGTAGCCCCCGATGAAATTCTCTGAAATTGCAGTATGTTATAGTCCTTGGTGTTCTGATTAAAAGTCTCAATAGGCACAAAGCTTGAAAATCAATAGTTTTTTGTCTAGAGATGTTTGAAGTCCTAAACTTTTGCTATGCTGTGATGACATAGCTGTGATATAATGCCGGACTATGTGTGTGTCTGTTTGTCTGCTGCTTTTTATGTGTGTGGGGAGGGGAAGAGTATGGGTGTGTCTGAGTGGATGTGTTTGCACCATGGAGGTAAAGGAGAGAGAATAGAGCCGAGGAGTTGAAGCCAAGGTGGGGAAGAGGGGTAAGCCGTCAGCCATCTTAATAGGCGACATTAGTGCTGCTATCTAATGCATAGCAGTGAAATTACTTCATAGTGTAAAGAAGTGTCAAATGAAATTAAAGTAAGAAGTATACGAATAAAGTATTAGAAAAATGCCATCGTGTATTTTGGAAACTTGTTCTAATAGAACCTACCGAAAATCATATAAACAAGAAGAACTCGAAAAAAAGCAGAAGATAACTTTTCACACGTAAGTACAACAATAATGTAAGATCTTTGCATAATAGAATTTACCAAATCTTATCAAATTAAACATAGACTTATTACAATAAATAATTGTTTAAAGATGTAATATATATTAGAAAATATTAAAAGTAAAATTTGAATTCTTAATATATTTAATAGATTCCCAAAAAATACGTGCAGGCAAAAACAGTGGTGTGAAATATTACAATTGCCTGAAAATACTATAAAATCAAATTCAGTAATATGCTCAATGCATTTTCATGAAGAAAGTTTCGATAAATCGTCACAACGTTATATTAGATTAAAAGCTGATGCCAACCCATATGTAAGATATATTGAAACTGTACCATTATCTATGTGTTTGTCTTGTCACTATCTGTCACTGCTCAGATGATTTTTGTAGAGATATTTCTTTTTATTTCAAAATCAAAGGAAATATCGACTATGATTATCAACTTTAATATATAATATAAAAATAATATTTAGGAAAGGTGTGTTACATGTATCATCTTGGTGGAATTTCCTGCAATATTCAGGAATATATGATGTTAAGTAACTATGTAATATATATGACATAGTATATGTAATATAATATATATAATATACTCAAGTAGCAAGGTAATGTCTCGACATGGCATTTTATTCAAGTTAGAAATGTTAATAAGACTTCATTTGACATCACATTGCTACTAGGGATATATATATATACACATATATATATTGTTTGAAAAACATTATACATATATTTTAGTTACTTTCACAAACATCATCAATGCAGAGGAAATCTCCAATA